CTGAGATGATGTGACTGACGTCGTATTCACACTATACGAGATCATCACAAACGACACGAGTCATCCCTGCTGGGATCGAAATATGGAGATGGTGCAGAGCATCTCAGAGTGGCCTTGCAACCGGGAACTAGACTCTGGCGTATCGACATTCCGTAAATTTCTGAATGAATGGGTAACAAGGCGAGAGGGGGGCAGGGACCGATATCTCAATGCACCCAAGCGGCTTACATGGCCGGACCTACCAACCCCACCCGACTATAGTGTGCCTTTCGAGCTAGGCAAAACCCGGGATGGAGAGCCATATATGAGAACAGGCGTGCGATCTCGACGCACTGCATTGAAGCTGGGACAAAATTGCTTTCGTTGGGAGAGGCCACCTCAGAGCAGGTTGTTAAAAAAGGCCGAAAATGATGAAGTAGCCAATGTATGAAAGACCATTTTTCGATCATTCAATCAAAAAACAAATTTTGTAGGCTGCGTCTTGTTTAATTCTTCCTTTTAGCATCAAAGCCATTATTAGAGTGAACCATGCCTGCTAATATCCAGGATGAAATACCTATTGTAGTCAATAAATCCATGGTTATAGTCACGTGCCAGCAACAGACTGAGATTTACCCCCTGATTCAGAAGCGCCCTAATAAAAGCGGCAGCTAAGATGGGGCCCCACTAGAAGAACTTCGGAGTACAGAGTATCCGTAGGCAGCGCTTTATATGGGTGGACCTAAAAGGTAAACTAAATTTGATTTGAAGGCAGACGAGATACTCAACGAAGTTGCATGTTTCGTCCGTAACGGCCCACTATATGCGGCACACTCCACAGCTGGGGGCAACAGTTCCTTTGGTTCGGTGTACTTAATATTGGCATATCCGAATTTTGTCTCTGCTAATAATAATCAGGGCTAAGGACCCGCTGATTCCGCCACGATCAACCGCTTTCGGCAGGGGAGGCGTATGAAAAGAAAAAAAAAAAAAGAGAAAAGAGGTTTTGGAGAACAAAGCAAATACTCCGATGAATAGAGTGAATGACATGAATAAAGGGAAGAAAGTAGTGAAACATATGATATAACCCTGGAGGCGCGGCATTCTGTATATTGAAGGGGGGGGAAAGTGCCAATGGGTCGCTATACGGAACTAACCCAAACATCAATACAGCACAATACAACACAATACAGCACTCTGATTGGCTCCAAGTTAGCCGCCCCTGTCTATTTACAATACATGACCACATACCTTGCCAGGTGCGCATGAATGGCGATGGTCACTGTCCAGTGTCTCTCCCACGGACCCTTGTCGACTCGTCCCTGGTCCCTGAGACGACTTCTTTTCACCCTCATTCTCTCATTGTCTTTCTTTTTCTTCTTCTGATTCTAGGCTTCTGGTCCACTTAAAACCACTTTCTCCTTCCAAGCCTATTACTCCTTTACTCCTTTTTCGGCCATACTGCGTATCGCCCGTCCACTCACTCTCGACATTTCGCTTTCGACTCGATCCTTACTCTCATTCAGGCTCTGGAATACTCTCGTTTTATCTACAATCCAGCAAATTCAGCTTTCGATTCCATAATCCCCCCTTACGACTACTTTTACGTTCCGCTATATTCAATGCCCCAGTGAAAAGGCACACACCTTGACTCAACCCTGACTTTCCTCCGACAATTTGCGCCAAAAACACACACACCAACTGTCCGAGGAGACATTAGGAAATAGTTCAGCCCCACTGTGATCAAAAAGCATCCGACCTCAGCAATTTCCGCATCCGGCGGCTGGTAACGTGGTATTCTGGAGTGCCACTGACACGATAGCCGTCAGATCACTTCCCCCGCCCTGATCTACCACTGGGAAAACCTAGTGCTTCGCAAACTCTTCGTGATATCGAATATACACCAACATGCGGTTAATATCGCTTCTCACCTGCTTCGTCGCCTTTCTGGCGCCGCTAGCCTCTGCCGTTCAGCTCCTTGAATCCAATGCACTCAGTGTTTGCATGGAAAGTAGCAACTTCACGGCAACATATTTCAGTGTCACCTTCTACCCGGCAAACAACTCCCTCGTGGTCGGTTTCGATGGCGTCTCGTACATCGAGGGTAAGGTTGTTGCAGAGATTACCCTTACCGCATATGGCTTCGAGGCATACAAGAACACGCTTAATCCTTGTAAAATCGAGGGCTTCGGCATGTGCCCCATGGCCGCTGGACCTATAGATTTGGGACCGCTTTCTCTCGATCTGCCCTCGGGCACTTCAGCGAGCGTTCCTGGTATTACCTATACTGTGCCTGATCTTGATGCAAATGTACGGATTGTCATCAAGACCGCCGACACTCTTGAGAAGATTGCTTGTGTCGAGGCCTCGCTTTCCAACGGCAAGACCGTTAATCAAGCCGGAGTCTCGTGGACAACTGCTGTCATCTCCGGACTAGGTCTCGCTGCATCCGCCATTACCTCCGGACTAGGTCATTCCAACACCGCGGCTCACGTCGCGGCAAACGCGCTCTCTCTTTTCGGTTTCATGCAGTCACAAGCAATTATTGGCATGACCTCCATTCATATGCCCCCCATCGTGGAAGCTTGGACTCAAAACTTCCAATGGAGCATGGGTATCATTCGCGTGGGATTCATCCAGAAGATTGCTACCTGGTACCAGCGGGCAACCGGTGGAACTCCGTCAACAATCCTGTCACAGCTTGGGGATACTTCCGTCGAAGTTCTCAAGCGCCGCAAGCGTGACTTCGCTGACCCAGCAATGGACCTCTTGAAGAGAGCCACAAAACCAATGATAGTTAAACGGGCAACCGGTATGGTCAAGAGATCCGAGAACAGCCAGAAACTTCTTGTCATTCGAGGAATTGATCGTGTTGGTTTCCGTGCGAACATGGAGGAGACCAACATTTTCCTCACTGGCCTGATTTTCTTTGCGGTCTTCACCTGCGTTGTCGTCCTCATCGTTGCAGCCTTCAAGGGAGTTACTGAGTTACTTGTCAAACATGGCAAAATGAAGAGCGACCGGTTCCAGGACTTCCGCAATGGATGGAAGATCGTTCTGCGTGGTATCTTGTTCCGACTGACTCTCATTGGTTTCCCCCAAATGTCTGTTCTTTGCCTCTGGGAGTTCACCCAGCGTGACTCGGCGGCCGAGGTCGTTTTGGCAGCGGTTATGCTCCTTTCTATGCTCGTCTCTCTTGGGTGGGCCTCTCAGAAGGTCATTCGGTTGGCAAAGCGTTCAGTCACCATGCACAAGAACCCGGCATATATCCTTTACTCTGATCCGTCTTGTCTGAACAAGTGGGGCTTTTTGTATGTGCAGTACCGAGCAACATCATACTACTTCGTCGTTCCATTCCTCGTGTACACCTTGATCAAGGGCATGTTCATCGGTCTAAGCCAGCCTGCGCCAATCGTTCAGGCAGTGTCTTTGGTGATCCTCGAGCTAGCTATGTTGGTCGCTGTCTGCATTCTCCGTCCTTGGATGGATAAGAAGACTAACGTCTTCAACATCTCCATTGCCGTGATCAATTTCCTTAACGCCATCTTCGTGCTCGTTTTCTCAGATGTGTTCGACCCCCCCGGATTGATGATCGGTGTCATGGGTGTCATCTTCTTCGTTTACAACTGCATCTTCGCTTTCGTCCTTTTGATTCTGGTTCTGATCGCCTCAGTCTATGCCGTGGTGTCTAAGGACCCCGATACTCGTTATCAGCCTATGCGTGATGATCGTGGCTCGTTCATCAAGTCCCAAACCCAGCTTACCACTGAATTGGATGCCCTGGGTGCTACAGCGCGCGGTGATATGAAGCCTGGGCAATATAATAACAACAACAACCCATTCGACGATGATACTGGTTCTATCTCCAGTGGAAATGGTGCTACCGTCGGCCGCCAAATGGAATCAACCTACCCACCACATTCTGCCGCCCAAGCGCCTCGATCACCCGTTGACCCATCTGTGCCACTGTTCCCCAGTAATGCGCCAGGTCATCATGCTCCCCCTGGATACGACCAGTTCGGTCGGTCCCCTTCACCCGCCGGAAGGAGCTTTGATAACAACGCTCCTATTGGCCAATCTGCTTTGTCGGCGGCAACCTATCGAACCCAGAACAGTACCAGTCCCTGGCAACGGGGCGCTGGCTATGACCATTAAAAAAGGCCTGTGGACTCTGATTTTGTCGCTTCTGAGATGAAGATATGTGATTTTGTTTTAGCGCGGGATATGGTCTATGATTTTGCCAATCGCCATTCCTCTGGGTTCGGGGTTCTTTTTATTTTTTTGCTTCTGCACAAGTCTGCAGCATCCTCGTCGCTTCAGATAAATTTCTTTTCTTAATTCACTCCATTTGTTAATGGTGTGACCCTTTTGTCATCTATCCCTTCCTTTTTTACTTCTCCTCGCTTCGTCTTTTCTCTTTTTCTCTCCCTGGTCTAAGACCTTTTGTGGTCGACCTGTATTTCCCTTGTTTTTACTTCCGTTCGGCGTTCTTTGATGCATTCTGGATATGGTGATCGGCCTTGGGTTTCTCTTTTCTTTTTGTTGGCTTTGCAGTATATCTGCTGCCGATGAAATATATTTCCAATTTCTCCCGGTTTCAGCATTACTCACCCTATATACCAGTATTCTGGCAGGTAGTCCTAGTGTAAATACTAATGCAATGTCTACACCTATTGATGCGGATGTCGATGTCGTGATATACATCTCCAACTCCCATGGCCTTAGATCTCTCGTAAATAATTCAATTCCATGAACTGGCCCAGAGCCCCAAGAGACCATCTTGTACGAAACACAACGTACGAAAAGAAAGAGACATAAAAAAAGAAACCGCTATTTTACACTAACAGTAAAGAGCAAAAAGAACCATGAGAGATGTCACGCCGACGGCACCACACATCCCCACAGAAAAAAATAAAGGTATCAGAAACAAACCATTTACGAACCCCAAGATCGTCATCATGATCACCACTGTTGATCCATCCTACCAGAATGCCCACCTCCGGGGGGAGGAGGATATCCCTCTAAGCCACGGGGGCCAGTAGGAATGGGCGACGGACCACCAGGCCCCATACCGGGCTGACCCATACCGGGCTGGCCATGCATAGGCATAGGCGGGAAGCCCGCGCCTGGCGGGGGGATGGGGAAGTTGGGGAAGCCTCCTGGGGGTGGGATCGGCAGGTTTGCGCCTTGGGGCATGTTGGGGAGGGGAGGGGGAAACCGCCTGTTGGCGGGGTTCCGGCGTTGGAGAAGGGCGGTGGGAAGGGCAGACCGTGGGCTCCTGGGGCTGGGTGGAACGGATATTGGTTAGCTTGGTATTGTCCTGGGTAGGGCTTGGATCCTCGTCTGTGGTTTCTGTTCTTGCGGGGTGGGGTTGGAACTGGGTAGAACATACGAGGTAGCATGCCTGGGGCGCCGGGTGCGCCTGGTGGAGGGATTCCGAAGGGGGGAGGGGGCATGCCTGGCATGCCTGGGTGTCCTGGCGGTGTTAGCTTTGGTTTGAGTTGGGTTTCGGGGGTGTATGGGAGGGTCGTACCCGGGAATCCGAAGGGAGGCGGGAAAGCGCCGGGGGGCATCATGTTGGGGGCTTGTTGGCCCTCTGCGGCGTAGGAGGAGGTGATGGAGTCGATGACGGACTGCGCCTTTTCTTGGCCAATCTCTGCACCGGGGTTATATGGTTAGCTATCATTCAGCTGTTGGGTTTGGCGTGGCTTGCTGCGCCATCGGCTAGACGTACGTTGGTAGTAGTCCACCACGTTTCTCAGGTGGTTTCGGCCGGAGTTATGCGCCTTGCGCACGCTCATCGAGTCGTGCGTCAGATAGACATCGCAGTAGTCACCTATAGGTTGAAGTGAGGGGTTAGCAATCTGTCGACTGATGTAGGCTCAAGAGGCCGCAGTCAATAGGCATAACATCGTGTCGCATTGTGCCCGGAATAGGCTGTGACACAGCTTGGTCTTTCTAGACTTGGATTTGGAGCAAAACCTACAAAAGAGTGCATGGGGAGTTAGCTTTTAGTTGCAAAGATATAGACCAGGGGGACTTATATTTGGGCATCTTGCCGGTTTCTGCAGCAAGTACCTTGCTGTCGTCGCGCGAAAGAGGAAAATTCCCTTCCGGGATTGGTTTCGTTCAGGAGGCGGGGATCTTGGCTAGCAAGGATTTCCCTGATTTGCAATGTCGTGGTTTCGGCTGAAGCTCGGAAGTGAAGCCTTGGTGACGCAGATAAGAGAGAAATTGAAGTAGCAGGACCGGCAAGTCGTTTCGGAGCTCGATGGCGAGAGTTGAACAGGCGGTCGGTAGTGGCAGAATAGTGTCTTATCGCGTCCGTTCTCTATAACAAAGACAGCACCTCTCTTGCTAAAAGAGTGAATTCTTGTGATTGAAATAATGATGTCGATTCTAGCTTGCTATTATAATTTATCCCGACAATTTCACATTAGCAGCACAAATCGAAGCAGGCACTTATTTCACCCAAAAGCATACGATATCCATCGACTCATTAATACATACAAGAGTAGTCAGCTGCATACATGTATGCGGCCTCCTATCTTCGACGATCTAAGACTTTAGCAATTGACTTATTTGGCTCAAGATGATATTGGGATGTTGTATGTAAGATAAGACTTCGACGTTCTTTTTGGATGTCTTTCATATGTCTTTTTATGTGTCTTTCATTTATATATTTATTTTGTTATGGTCAGATGGAAAGTAATAGTGATGCTAGGAATGAAAATATAATAATAGGAATAATAATACAGAGTAGGCATGTCGGGGTTATCACTCCATGACAATATATAGAAGCGGTAAAAAGCATAAACCGTACGGAGGGCTTTCTCTACATCTAACCTGAGCTAGGATAAGTGAAAATAGCATTGAACTTATTTCGAATTGATTAAAATCCCAGAGCAATCTTCAACCTAGAATAACATGAGCTTAAACCACCATTCCCATGAGCCGATTTACATATCCCACTTGCTTGCAACAGTCGGAGACAAGACGCCATTGACAACTCCACCCTGCGCTCTCATATTTAGAGTCTGCTCACCCTCTTCACGCTCAATCTCAAGTTTCCCGTCCTCCGCGCTCCGAGCGAATGCCACGATCATTTGAAGTAGGCTGGCAAACTTGCCCAAAGCCGGTTGCTGGATCTCCTCCCACTGCTTTACATCGTCTCGCACGTCCTGAACCTGAATATGCCTGAATCGACCAGATGTGTGATGGGCGAGAACGAAGTTGGGAGTCTGCGAAACCCACAGCCGGGGCAATTCTTCCTCGAGGGTGTTATGCCTCTTTTTGTTGAGAGATCGAGTCTTCAGGTCAAAGATTGCACACTGTGGGATACGTCGGCCTCTCCTTGCGATCTCGAGCTGCTTGGGTGCGGTTTCTGTAGTGACTGGGGGATGACATATAATCCTCACTTTTTCCATGGACGACAAAGCTTCCTCTAAGTTATCGTCCCCCGGGGAAACAGGATCTTGCTTGGTTTCCTCGTTATCCGGGACCAGGTCGGGCAAAAACCCATCCGCCTCAAAACGTATCAAGCACTGCATGCCAGCAAACTCATACTGCATCACCCGCTGATGGGACTCGGATCCGCCCACGCTTGCACCCCACGTGGTGTATGCTTCTGGGAAAGTATGTCCATACCCGTAGATATCGGGAATCATTTCGGTGGGCGAGTTCTCCCTTCTGATAAAGAAGACTGTATTGCCGAGTACTTCAACAAGCATCCTGAAGGGCTTATCGTGCCCAAGTACAAAGCGTAGTAGATTGCCCATTGTACTGTTGCACGCAATGATGTCCACACTAGTCACGGGGAACTCAGGTTTGTCTGTCAGTATTGCTTGCACCATTGGCTCCAGAGGGTATGTGGGATATTGCGCGGCATTTCGATCGCGATAGTATCCACCCTTGTCTTGTGGAAGCGTGGGAGGATTGGATTCGGACAGAGGTGTCCACTTTGGTGGTTCACCTTGTAGAAACGTGTTAGTCAACATCAACATATATCTTGTGGATAGTGTCTTATTCTCATGAGGCATCTACCTGGAATGCTTATCTTCCTTTCCCAGCCAAGCCAGTTGTAGGATGTCAGATATTTACTGTTCGTGATTCGAGATTTGGTATCATCCTGATCTGCTGGAGTTTCCAGTTCATTGTGATGAACTGTGACGATGACATCTCCTAGTGGAGGTGCTGATGAACTGATCTGGGAAGCGCGCCCCCCTCGTCCTCTCGATTGTCCTCGTCCTCGTCCTCTTCCTCTTCCTCTTCCCCACGAAAACATAGTGTAGACTCTTGTGGTGGTCAGAAAGTACTAACAAAGTTAGCAATGCAGCAGATAGACAGAAGAAAAATAGAAAGGGTGGGAGAAAGTCTTGAGTGCCTTCGCGTTTGCTACCAAGGAAAGACCACAAGGCCACTCAAAAGGCCATTGAAAAGACCACTACTGTGATGCCACGAATTATTTTACAGGGATATAGACCCCTGTCGCCACGTCACATATCTACTATATCTACTGCATTAGCCTACTCCTGCGCCTACTTCGGCGCCTAATGTGTTGCTGCGGATAGCCATTAGAAAGGGCATAATCCAAGGCAGACAGCAGTCTGCATATTTAGTGTAACTGTCTGCTTTGTTAATAAGGCATCTAACCTGTCCTATCTCTTAACTCTAGAGTCTTTCTACACTTTTACTTTCTATCTTTCTCTAATTTATCTTGCAACTATCTATGCCAAGTCTACTGTTTAAACCCCATTTTCTGTCATGTCTACAAACGTTCGGTCGGAGCGACTGTCGAAGTATTTTGGAGCCGTCGTCAATGGAAAGCAGGAAGTTCAGGATCTGACCGATTTCAAGCGATTTGTTGAAGCAATCCTGAACCAGAGTGATCCTAGTATTGTTGTCCAGCGAGTTATCTCAAGCCAAAGCGCTCTGAATGCCTTGCGAAATGGACTGAGGTTCAGCCTCACACCGGTCTTCATTAACGGGTACACCGCGAAGTTGATTCAATACTTGAACCATCGCGAGGTCAAGCTCCTTTGCAACGGCCAATTTCTCGAGCAACTTCTTCTGATCATTTTGGAGCCTTGTACCCTCTGGGGTGCATTTCTGGAGGCGTTCCGCACTCGGAAACTGGAAGTTCATGCGATCCAGGCTCTATGCTGGTTGATGACTGAGCTGCTTTCATTGCCTCCCTCTTGCGGAGTGGATATTAGAGCCGATGCACAAGCTGTTTTGGATGATGGATCGCTTTTCTCTTCACCCTCGGTTGACATACGAAACCTCGGCCACAAGATCAGATATTGCCTGGAGATGAAATCACCTGCAACCACCCTCCAGGACTCCGAGATTACTGCAGGCGGTCGGCATGATAATGATTTTTCTGATTTTCGCTTGACGGCCATCTTTCCTACGGCCGATGAGATGAGGTGTACAGAGAAACCGTTTTATCGCCGTGCTGAAGACATCGCGCAGCTGTCGAGTGGCCAGCGTGTTGCAGGACACATTGACAATCAGTTTCGCCTTCTACGAGAAGATATGCTCTCAGAGCTCCGCGATGACTTTCAAATTGCGAAAGGCACGAAGAAGGGGCGAAGGTCGGCTTTCCACCTAAAGGATCTCCGTCTCGCCCATGTCCGCTGCACTTCTGGAACCTCAACCCACCTCCGACCATGCACCATTGGTGTTACTGCCCAGTCTGGCCTTGAAAAACTCAAGAACCTCTCAACAGATGATCGCAAAGCTTTCTTGAAGGACAAGCCCCAGTTTGTCAAGCATCGTGCCTTTGGTTGCTTGACCAGAGACACAGAAATTGTGGCTTTTGCTACAATCGAAAGAGAAATCGATGAACTGATCTCCGACTCCCCAGTGGTTATGCTGCGTATTACGGGCGAGGAGGCGCTCAAAAAGTCTCTTCTTTATCTGAAACTTTACCATGATGTGGAGTTCTTGCTTGTTGACACCGCAATGTTTGCATATGAGCCAATTTTGAAATGCTTGCAGGAGAGGATAGAGCTACCTCTCACAGAGGAGTTGTTCCTTTACGAAAGAGACCATCCTGTGAAGGATTCAAGTCTAGTTCCTTGGAAAGTGGTGAACAAGTTGAAGGAAGAATATGGATCCAACATCCAGAGAACCCTTAAAACTTCAATGCCAGTGACATTGGACGCTTCACAGCTAGATTCTATGTTGGCCGGGTTGACACAGAGAGTGAGTCTCATTCAAGGACCGCCAGGTAAGATCATGAAATCTCTTAATTCCATTACCAAGGATATCAAACTGACAGCATGAGCTCTAGGTACCGGCAAATCATTCATCGGTGCCCTTCTCGCAAAAGCCCTGCATGGTAATACTAAAGACAAAATCTTGGTCATGTGCTACACGAATCATGCACTGGACCAGTTTCTGGAAGACTTGCTAGACATTGGTATCGATTCATCTGATATTGTAAGACTGGGAGCCAAGTCGACACCACGCACTGAGCCACTTGGATTGTTTAAGCAGCGTTCATCCCATAAGAGGAACTATGCCACTTGGAACACCATCAATGCACTCGAAGCGGACGGAAATGAGCAAAAGATCACTTTGGATACTTCTTTCCAAAATTACAAGAACCTCACGGCTAATCCTGCGTCCATCTTGGACTATCTGGAGTTTGAAGAACCAGAGTACTTTGCAGCTCTGACTGTACCAGATGACAAAAGCGGGATGACTATGGTCACCAAGCACGGAAAGGCAATCAAAAAAGACTACCTATATAAACGATGGATCGGAAATCAAGGCCCAGGAGTATGTTCTGATCTTCTTCCCGCTCATTGTCGCGATATCTGGGCACTGGATCAGAACATACGGGAGGAGAAACAGAGGTCTTGGGAGAGAGCTTTGCTGAGTGAACAGGCGGAGTCTCTAAGCATCAGCATAGGATTGTTCGACAAATGCCAAAGTCGACTGAGCGCTACCCTGGGGGAGAAAAACCGCGAAATTTTGAAGTCAAAGCGAATCATCGGCTGCACCACTACTGCAGCGGTAATGTATTCTGAGGACATTCGACATGCTTCCCCTGGAATCGTGCTTCTCGAAGAAGCGGGCGAGATCCTTGAGTCCCACGTGCTCACCGCAATGACACCAGATACCAAACATTTGATCCTGATAGGCGATCATCAACAGCTGCGACCAAAGATCAACAGTTACAGCTTGAGCACAGAGAAAGGGGATGGTTATGACCTGAACGTCTCCCTATTCGAAAGACTCATACACGCCGGGTTTCCACATACGACACTGATGAAGCAGCATAGGATGTGTCCGGAGATCTCAAGTCTTGTACGCAATCTCACCTATCCCGGGCTGGAAGACGATCAAAAGACCAAGAACCGTCCTCAGCCACGAGGGTTGTGCGACAGAGTGATATTTTTCCATCATCAAAACCCTGAAGATACTTTTGCCCAAGTCTCCGACCGACGTGATGAGAACTCGAAAGGGAGCAAAAGGAATGCGTTCGAGGCAGATATTGTGCTCAAAATTGTGAAGTATCTTGGACAGCAGGGGTATGGAACAGACAAGCTGGTCGTGTTGACTCCATATTTGGGTCAGCTGAGTCTACTGATGGACACTCTAAGCAAACAGAACGATCCAGTTCTAAATGACCTCGATTCCTACGACCTTGTTAAAGCAGGGCTCCTATCGCAGGCTGGTGCTTCCCACTCTAAGCGTCCAATCAAGCTGTCTACAATTGGTAAGTAGGAAGAAAGAAATAGGTCCAAGTAAGAGTCTAACCTGAGAAAATAGACAATTTCCAAGGAGAAGAGAGTGAAATTGTTATAGCTTCACTCACCCGCAGCAACAAAACCGGCGACATAGGGTTCATGGCAGCCCCCGAGCGCCTCAACGTTCTGCTTTCCCGGGCCCGAAATGTCCTCATATTGGTGGGGAACTCGGAAACATTTGTCTCTAGTCGAAAGGGTCAAAAGCACTGGAAGCCATTCATTGATCAACTGAAGTCAGACGGGCATCTATACGATGGGCTCCCCGTCCAGTGCGAGCAACATCCTCAGACAAATTCCATTCTCCGAACAGCGGAGGACTTCAATAGAGAATGTCCGGATGGAGGATGCTCTGCCCCTTGGTCAGTTCACGAGAAGTTCTGCTGATATTTTCATGCTGACTTCCCCATAGCGGCGTGAAACTAAGTTGCGGAGTACACGAGTGCCCGTCAAAATGCCACCAGCTTGCAGACCATTCAAAAATGAAGTGCACAAAACTTGTGAAATGGACGTGTCCCCGAGGTCATGACCTATCTCTCTCATGTTCCCAGACCAAGCGTTCTTGTCGTTCCTGTATACTTGAAGACCAAGTCAAAGAGCGCAAGCGCAAACGCGATCTCGAGTTGGAGACTGAGCGACAAAGGAAGCAGACCGAGTACGCCAGGCAGCTTGCAGAGGCTCAGGAAGAGGCTTCGCATCTCAAGCGCGTGCGACGCGATGAATTCGATGATGCGGAACGTGCGAGAGTTCTTGAACAACACCGTCAGGAAATTGAGGATTTGAGGAATCCCCCCAGACCCGCATCTCCTCAGCCGAGAATGAGCTCTGGAGCAATTGCGAGTACACCCTCAAATACCACAGAAGCAAGCGCAGATTCGAGCGTTGCAGTCACCCGAAGCCCTAGTGCTGAGTCTAAAAGTCAACAGGTAATGCCGCCACCAGAGACATCGGCGGCTAAAAAGGACTGGGAATATCAAAAGCAGTTCTTCAACGCCCAAAGCCAGGAGATCGACAAGTTAATCGACATGACCGGACTTGAATCAGTGAAAACAAAGTTCTTGTCTATCAAAGCGAAAGTGGACGTTGCCATCAGACAGAACATCAAATTGAGCCGCGACCGATTTGGATCTGTATTGCTTGGGAATCCCGGTTCCGGAAAGACAACTGTTGCCCGTCTCTATGCAAAATTCCTATCCTCCATGGGGATCATTCCGGGCGACAAATTCATCGAGACAACCGGGTCCAGGCTCGCGAATGATGGTGTTTCAGGATGTCAAAAAACCATCGAAGCCCTCTTGAAAGACGGCGGCGGTGCCATTTTCATCGATGAAGCGTATCAACTCGTCGGCAGCAGTCTCGGCGGTACCCAGGTTCTGAATTTCCTCTTGGCTGAGGTTGAAAACCTCACGGGAAAAGTGGTCTTCATTCTTGCGGGATATCAACGGCCGATGGAGAAGTTATTCGAGCACAATACAGGACTTCCTAGTCGTTTTCCGCATGAGCTTAAGTTTGAAGATTTTGACGATACTGAGCTGATGCAGATTCTGGTCGGCTGCATCGAGGATAAGTACAGAAAGCAGATGAAAGTCGAAGATAACCTTGGAGGACTTTACTGTCGTATTGTAGCTCGTCGAATTGGACGCGGGCGTGGTCGTGAAGGTTTTGCCAATGCAAGAGCTGTTGAAAATGCCATGTCCAAGATCTTTGAGCGACAAGCTGCACGGCTCAGCCTGGAAAGACGACAGGGTGGCAGCAATATTGATGATTTCTTCCTGAGCAAGGAAGACATGATCGGTCCAGATCCATCGCAGGCTTTGAAATCATCCAATGCTTGGCAAAAGCTGCAGACCATGATTGGTTTGGACGCTGTGAAGAAGACGGTGCAGGCTATTTTAGACACTATGCGATACAACTACCAGCGTGAGCTAGATGAGAAGCCCCTGGTTGAGTACAGTCTTAATAAAGTGTTCTTGGGGAACCCCGGAACTGGGAAAACTTCAATCGCGAAGATCTATGGTCAGATACTTGTGGATATCGGGTTCTTGTCAAATGGCGAAGGTATGCGAGCTTCTCCCTTGTCTGTAGGATTTACTGACAATCGCAGTGGTTGTGAAGAACCCGTCAGATTTTGTTGGCAGCGTGATTGGAGAGTCCGAAAAGAATACCAAAGGGATACTCGCATCTACACTGGGAAAGGTTCTAGTCATTGACGAGGCCTACGGACTATTCGCTGGAGGTACCTCTGATGGAGCAAGTTCCAAGAGTGATCCATACAGAGTTGCCGTGATAGATACCATTGTGGCAGAAGTACAAAGCACACCTGGTGATGATAGGTGTGTCTTGCTTCTGGGTTACAAGGAACCAATGGAGGAGATGTTTCAGAAGGTCAACCCTGGCCTCAGTCGACGCTTCCCCATTGACCAGGCATTTGTCTTCGAAGATTTCACTTCAAGTGAACTGGATGCGATATTGAATCTGAAGCTCCAAGAACAAGGATTTGGCATAACTGATCGCGGCCGTCGCGTGGTATTGGAGATGCTCGAGCGTGCTCGGAATCGACCACATTTTGGCAATGCAGGCGAGATTAATAATCTGCTTAACACCGCCAAGATGAGGTATCAAAAGCGCCTGTCTTCTACCAAACGTCCCGGTTCTGTCCCAGATTCTATTCTTGATGCTCCTGACTTTGATGAAGACTTTGATCGCGCGGATAAAAAGGAGAGTGTTGCGAAGATGTTTGAAGGCGTCATAGGATGTGAAGATATCGTGGCCAAACTGGAAGGCTATCGTCAAATGGTTCAAACCCTCAGAGGACTGGGCATGGATCCTCGCGAACAATTGCCATTTAACTTTGTCTTCCGTGGTCCTCCAGGTATACAAGCCCCTGCTCGCGGCTTTTTGTGTGCTGAAACATTGCTGACATATAAATACTCCTTAGGTACCGGAAAGACAAGCACGGCCAGAAAGATGGGTCAGGTCTACTACGACATGGGCTTGTTAGCTTCGAGTGAAGTGGTCGAAACCTCAGCAACGGACCTGGTGGGTCAATATGTAGGCCAGACAGGCCCCAAGACTCAACAGGTCCTAGAACGTGGTCTTGGGAAAGTATTGTTCATTGACGAAGCCTATCGGCTCGCCGAGGGCCATTTCGCCAAAGAAGCCATGGATGAGATTGTGGATGCTATCACCAAGCCCAGGTTTGCTCAAAAGCTGATCATCATTCTGGCCGGTTATGATGCGGACATCAACCGTCTCATGTCAATAAATCTGGGGCTCACCAGTCGTTTCCCAGAGTCTTTTCAATTCGATCCATTGTCTCCGGCAGACTGTGTCAAGTTAATGTGTGAGCTTTTGTTGAAAGAAAAAAGAGATCTCTTGAGCAAATCACAAGCTCAATTTGACTTGGTCTGCCTGGAGAGCCCAGACTTCGAGTTTATGAAGGGAATGTCGGAGCGCTTTGATAGACTTTCAGAGACTGCTGGTTGGGCAAACGCACGAGACGTTGGAACGCTCACAAAGACCGTCTTTGGCAAAACGCTTCAGTCATCTAGCGGGAAGAGGCTGATGCTAAGCAAAGATACGGTGCTCGATGCTCTCGACTCAATGATCAATGAGCGATCCAGCCGGGAAGTCTACCGGCAAAACCCTGCCTCAACTGCGAGCAAACCAAGAGAGCTAACAGACCTGGCCATCCGCACACAACCTTCGAGCAAACCTGTTACTGAGTCGGACAATCAAGGCTCAGCCAACGAGGATGTGGCCTCCAGCAAGAAACCAGACACGATGGAGCCTGAACCAGACAACTCCGCTGCTACCATGAAGCGAGATGCCGGCGTCACGGACGAAGTGTGGCATCAACTCGAGAAGGACAAGGCTCTAGCAGAAGCCAAAGAGAAAGAGTACTTGTGTTTGAAAGAAGAAGAGGAAGAGCAGAAAAAGAAGATATTGAAATTGAAAGCGGAGGAGGAAAAGGCAGCACGGGAGCTCGAAGAGGAAGAAAGGAAAGCGGATGAAGATGCCAAAAGACGCCACGAACAAGCCCGACTACAGCATGAATTGGAGCGCAGGAGACAGGAAGCAATTTTGGCGACACTCCGCAAGCAACAAGAAGCTTTCCGTAAGGAACAAGCTAATCAGGCAAAGTTGCGGACCATGGGAGTCTGTGTCGCTGGCTTTCAATGGATTAAACAATCCGGCGGATATCGATGTGCTGGTGGTTTCCATTGGGTTTCGGATGCTGAACTTGGAAGTTCCTGAGCTTGGGATATTGGATTGAGAATATTAGAATGTCATTAGCATCTGAAGAACTAGATATATCTCTTTGAAACGTCCATTTAGTGCTTGTTTGCACTTCTTTTTGATAGGCAACGCCCATAATCACTATTAAATTCCCATCTGTTCGCTCTTTATGTAAATCTCTAATGAGACTCCCTAGATCAAAAAACTTAAGTGCACTACAACAGACGCATCGTGACAAACGTTTACAGCTATCGCCTTACCTCCCTTCTCATCCATCCCATCCAACTAAATCCACGCAGTCGACATGGCGACTGCCACACCCACAATGGAAATCGACAAGCTCACAGCGGGCATCAAGATCCTCATGACCGGAAACGAGATACTGATATTCCTCAGCACCGGCGACCTCATGGCAAGCCCAATAATCCCAACACCAGGAACCCCCCACGTCTCAATGCGACTCAATGAACTCCCAGACTACCTCTCCACCCGAACCTTCGTCTTCGAAGACCCAAAGGCTCTCGAAGAATACCTCAATTCCAAATCCACCCATCCAACAGCAACTCATCTCCGCCTCGTCCCCATGCATCGATTCATAAATGCTCCATTTCCGAAAGTGAGCAGCGGAGTATCGAACTCAGGACGGACACGTCAGTCACTGAATCAGCCCGAGGTACGCGAATTCTATGAAGCCATGCCGTTCCCGTACCCAAGTCTTGAATTCGTTTCCATCGATCAGATCACATACCCCGAGGGACAGGAGTTCATTACGCTTATTGCGGATTGGAGGGCTGCTTGTCGGGCTGTTCCGAGGGGACACAAGGTTCAGGAGATCACTTTTGATTTGAATGGGTCGGAGAAGCTTAATTCCAGCTATGTCTCTCGGGTGGTGCAGCTGATAAGCACTGTTTTTGCTGTCAAGGCCGGTGGGCCATTTTACAGTCGACTTTGTGATGATGAGGCATATCTATTCAAGGATCGTGTGGTGAAGGCTTTGGCACGCAGTGGGTCTGGGCAGAAGAGTGAGGGTTATCGACGATTTGATATCTCGTATTGTGTTTTAGGGTTTGGGAATGGTGATAGGCTTGGTTGCGAAGGTTGAGGCTCGGCTGCAGGGCTGGGATTGGGGGGCTTTTTCGCTGGTCATGTGTTTCCCGAAGATACCTTGACATGTTGGAGTTGAAGAGCGATGCATGGGAATCCGGGATTGACATGCTGATTGATGTGTCTTTTGAATGAACTATTCTGAATTTGTGTACAACATAATGTGACAGAGTCAATCCAACGTTTCACGAATCCCAAACAAGCATTTTAACTAGAGACGACTGTCAACCAGGTTCAGAAACCTTGTTTTTTGTGTGTTACAGCGCAAAATGTGTTTCAGACTTATACACTCAACCGACGAGACAATAACAACGAAATCTTGAATAACGTGAGACGTAGGTTGAAAAGACACCTGACCACCAACCTCGGAAGGTTCCCATCTCACTCCCAACCTCAATACCCAACAGCCAACACCAACACGTATACCAAGCCAGCCAAAATTCCAATCCAACGAGCTTAGCCTTAGACTCCAACTACAGTAACACAGCTGACCCGATCTGCAGGATACAGTTCCGGGAAACAGGTCACATCGACAAGCAGGCCAGATTGGCAAGATATAATTTACTCAATAATAGTGCTTTCCGAGTGCCAATCCCGGTGCTGACATCCGAACCTACATACCCGACCGGATAGCCAGCTGGAATATGGTGTTAGTAAGACTGTAGAACCTTCCAAGGAACCATTGTACTCCGTCTACTGTATGATACCTTGAAATGGACGTAGCGCCGGCTCCCGGTTCCCGGGTCTCGACCTGGCCTTGGGAATTGGAGTGAAAATCATGTGTCATAGAGCACAATTATCTAACGGGGTATTATTTACATTGTGAGATGTTACCCCCTCGGTTGATTTAATCGCGCAATTTATGTTATATGTGCAAGTCAGGTGCTGGTTTCTCATCCAATTGGGAGGAATGTTATTTTTTTTTTCAATATAGAAGACACGTATTTCCCCACGTGAGGTAGCGGAATTACTTCCTATATTAAATTCCCGCAGAATGCAGGAAAGCTGAACAGGTCAGGTCCCAAAAAGTTGGGGAAGAGAAAATCTGGGGAAATGGACGCACAGACACCGAAGGACCAACTGGTGATTTGTGATGTTCGCCGCTCGGATGTCTTGGCCACTCAGAGCACATGAGACTTGCAAATTTTCTTTTTTCTTTTTTTTTTTTTCAACGTCATTTCACATCTGGGGAACGACCTTTTACCCTAATTCCCGGCCTCCTCGGCTCACCTGAGAGCCAAGGGGGTGTTCAATTAGTGTTCAACCTTGGACATCATTCTCGGCATCCTGGGCATTGCTAATTACTCCATGCGGTGAGTGAATTACATTTACCTTATGCAAACTATAGATGCCCTAGACTTGATCTACAGGGGACGCTAATGAAGATTTATCCCGCAAATTTCGGTGCGATGGAGTCATTGTACATAACGATCAGCGCGGTGTATAGCCGTATTTTATGATCTGATATTTTGATCGGGCCGGTATACTCTATAGTATAATAGTATAATAGTATAACTTGTATAATTTATAGAGTTGCATTATTTTCAAGTTATAGCTACATAGAACTATTAGACATTTTGACAGTCCACGGGGTACTAGGAGAACCTTGCCAGTGAAAATTGTGTCGCACAACCCCGGTGCTGGAAATAGAAAGTGGACACGGGCCGGCAAATGATGCAATTGTTGGAGTAGTAAAATACCAAATTCTCTACCATGTAACATCGTGAGTATTGTAATTACATTTTTCTCCCATATAAAAATGGTCGATGCTTAATGCCTCATATGGTCCATGATTTGCACCTGACATGTTAAACCTGACGTGAGAATGCGGTGTGTGCTCTTACAAGGGATAAATTTCACCACACTTGAACCATCGAGAGGTTTTCATTTCCTGGGGGTAATGGAAATCCCCATTGGTTACTAAGAAGGGTTTCTATTACGTTTTGCCACTATTGGTGGAGCCTCGGTCAGATGACTTTGGTTGCCCAGAAACATGTAAAAGCGGCCAGAGTCAGGCCATCTGGGGGAATCTAAGAGCCAATCATCATCTTGAACCAGGTCACAGGGGCGTTTTAAGGGCACATGCGGTTGCTGACTGAGCACTGAAAACAGAAATATCCATGGCCACTAAACTCCGATGACGACGGGGGGAAAATAAAATTCAAAAATAAAAAAATGAAAATTCAAAAATGAAAATGAAAATTTAAAAAATCCCAAAAAGGTTTCCCCATAGCACCTTGTGACTGGATGTCGTGCCTGGATCTGGAAATGACTCCAAAAAGGCCCCTGGGACTATATAACATGAATGTCCCCATGGTTATAGACCCATAACGCAAATTTTACACTTGATGGAGTTTTTATAGTCACAGTTTTAGACTGTTTATACCTCTCTATATTTCAGATCTACCATCATTCACCATGTCTCGAAATTACCGTGTCGTCGAACCGCACCCTTCAGTCCCACATGCCGGTCGTCCAGCCGTCTACACCGGCCGAGGAGGATGTGGAAATATCGTCAACCTAAAGAATACCAAGACCACCGACTCGCGCAGCGCAACCGGTCCAGCCTCTCTCGCCCGTCTCGACTCTCGCGCCCCAACAACCTTCATCTCAGGCCGCGGCGGTGCAGGCAACGTCCACAGCAGCACCGAACGAGCCATCTTCAGCTTCGACGAAGAACTCGAACGTGATCTCCGCCAGGCGGCCCCCGTCTACCACGTCGGACGTGGTGGTGCCGGTAACACCATGTACCGTGACGACTGCAGCAATTCCAGCCTGAGTCGCAAGTTCTCGGCTGCCAGCACGGCGACGAATTCCAGCTCTGGATCTGTGGCAGATCGGGCCCGGGATATGGCTCGTCGTGGTCTCGAGAAGGGTTGGGGAAAGCTCAAGGGAACTGCCTAGATGCATGTCTCTTTCCTACATATCTTGTCTCTGACAACATCAACGACATAACGACCCAAAAAAGTTTTTCCTTTCTCTTGACCTTTTTTTTTTAATACGGGGAATCTACCGCGTCCGAACTGGAACATCGACAACACGTTGATCGTCTTCCCAAAGACCATCTTACTACCCATGTTTCTTTCTGCGAAATACCACATCCGAATTCATCATTCATACCTCCCCAAGGAACCTCTTCATTGAGACATCTTCACTCATGGACCGGCGTTTCATGCTCTTCGTGGTCAATTTGCGCCCTGAGCCAAACCACCCTACATCATACGCCTCCAGGATCTAGAAACCCAGTTTCTAGTATCAACATACCCAAGTATCGCGCCATCGAACAACAATTGTCTGGCATCATTCTCGGAGTCCTGTTTTTCCTGTTTTTCCTATTTCAACTCAATCTGTCACACTCTGTGTTTCTTCTGTCTTTCAACATATTCCCCCCATATTGCGCCAGATCTACTAGGTCCTTCCTAGTAAACAATGAATTGCATGCTTGGGTCTTCCCGGGCTGGATTACATTCCAATACTTCCAATTGTATCATTGTAAATGTAAATTCTATCATTGTAGACGTAAATTTCGTATAAGACGTGCTTGGGGGTGGAACCCATGGCGAATCTAGATTTGGGCATGTCGCATCGAGTAGCGTTGTAGCCGTGGCTAGCCGACATATTTTGGGATGGTCATGATCATCCCTGTAAACTTGTTTATTCTTTGTCTGTGGTCTGGAATATTCTGTCGGCTTTGTTGTAATTTTCTTTGTCTTAGATCGTCCGTGGATGTTCTTGATTTGGATTGGTATTCTCTATATATTCTTTGAGATTTCAAGTCCACCGCCATTTGATAGTTCCTATTCCTACATGTATCCATGGATTCATTTTCTTTGATTTCACTGTTGTTTCTATATCAAAGCGTTACCGGAAATAAGATTTCGGTTTAAAAAAAGAAATTGCCTCCCGTACCAAGTGAAGCCCATCTGCGTTCGGGCACCCATGACTAGCCGAGTCATAATGGGAGGCGAATTTGAGAATAAGCAAACATATCTTCATAATTATTGCCCCTCCAGAAATAGATTGAATAAGATTGACTACTATTACATATACAACTTCCGAGTACATTGCATACAAATAAGCTACGCAATAGATGAGAACATGTAAGTATGCAGGCTAATATGTCCGAGTAAAATTATGTCCAGACTAGAACAAACCCCAAGACGCAAAAGAGACTGTATTTGCAATAAAGTCAGAGCCAATGCTAAGATGAGCTGGATAGGGATGGGGTATCAAGAGTCGGGGAGGCGACTCGGATTGGTGTTGGTCGATCAGTTCTTGGTATGTATGCACTGCCAATTGCGTGATGATCGATCCAGATTGACAAGATATGTTTCTTGTGTTTTCTAGGGATTGGAGATGGTGCCTTGCGGATCTTGGAGACAGTGGATGTGATCAGTTCCGGAGTGAGTCGCCAGAAGGACGCCATAATATCAAAGACTTTCGTCATGGGCGAGTCCTTTATGCGAATCGCTTGTGGATCACCTCGGGATCCTCGTGCCATTCGTCTGCGCTTACCCACATCTAGAGAGTATATAGTTAGTTACGATTCATTAGCAAAAGGGGAATCTGCATACCTTTCTAAACGTGCTCAGACCGGCAAGAATGCTACCACCAATCCATGTGGTGTACTTGCGCTCAGCAGGCGCAGAAATGCGAATCTTCATATCCTCGACTGCTAGTTTTTTGATCTCGCGCATCAACCGATCAGGGAAGTTCTTGCACAGTGTTGAACCTCCAGAAAGCACAATATTGAGGTATAGCGATTTTCGCAGGTCAAGATCTGTGCGAGTGATGGCGTCCTGCACGATCTGGTGCACACCGGGATACTCGAGGCCGATGAGCTCGGGATCGAAGAGGATTTCAGGCGCACGGTAACGTTCTTGGCCGATCTTGAGAGGTAGGTTCATTAGTATTGTTGTAAACCCAGAACAAACAATATTCCAAGACAGTGCATACCTTGATCTTGTGACCGTCTGGAAGAACGTAGTCCATCGCCTTAGCATCAGATTTGTGGTAGCTATTCATCCACTCCTTCTCCTCTCGCTTCGGATCCAGCGACACGTAGCAGACCTTCTCCTTGATCATCCGCACCACCTCCTTCTCAGCGCTAGTGTGCAACACATGTCCAGCCTTCCGCAGCAGCAACTGCATCTGTTCCGTAACATCACGACCAGCAACATCAATTCTCCGAATACTATTCGGAATAGCGAAACCCTCAAAGACAGGCACTGCATGGGAGACACCATCACCGGAATCCAAGACCACACCCGTAGTCCGACCAGACGCATAGAGCGACAACACAGCCTGAATCGACATATACAAGGCCGGCACATTGAAAGCCTCGAACATGAGTTGTGCTGCGATATCACGGTTGGCGCGTGGGTTTAGCGGTGGCTCCGTGAGCAGGACGGGGTGTTCTTCGGGGAGTGTCTTGAGCTCATTTTCATAGACGTAGTGCCAAATCGATTCCATGTCTTCCCAATTCGTGACAATACCGTGTTCCAGTGGATACCTGATCTTCAATAGTCCGCGGAGTTCTTGTGCGCGGGACCCGATGAACGAGTCTCCTTCCAGACCACCGGCCATCACCCGTGGGTGCTTGGGACGGCCGACAAACGACGGGAAGTAACATGATGGGATCTCCTCTCCGGCGAAACCGGCTCGAATTGTGCCACTGCCATTGTCGATGACAATTGGCACGTTGTGAAGAGTTGCCTCAGCCATTGCGGGGAGTGGTGTGGATGGGAGGTGAGGTCGGGCTAGGACGAGTGCGGGTATAGACGGCCTCTCGGCCTAGAATGGGCGACTCGGGGGATTAACGGAGCGGAAGTGGATTGAAGGCGCATATAATGTTTCGATGGTTGGGCGTGGATGTTCTTGTCACTGATTCAGGAGTGGACGCGAAGCCGCAAATCCGCAAATCGGGAATTGTCAACAAGGAGCTTGGGCCACTTTTAGTTCACGCCTGGTAAATTGGACTTCCATAGAATTGAAGTTTATAGAATTATCATAATGTTTCTTTCTAGCTAATGGTATAACAAGAAGCATAGGCCAATTATTTGTGCGAGAAGCTACTCGGTAGTGGTTCAAATATACATAGAAAATAATTGGTTCTCTTCATGGTCTATCAGATGATACTTCTACATCTACTCAATAGACCGAACAGACCAAACTCGGACCAATTGCTTGATCAACGCTTACTTTAATTTCATTCAACGTCATACTTCGTGATAAAAGGAATCTCCCAAGTCGATTGTTCAATCAACAAAAGCGATTGGTGGAAATCCGTCTTCATAGGTCGCCAGAGGGGGTTCCTTTAGTCCAAAAAGCTCAACTCATCAGACATACTTTCTGCAAGAGTTGTATTTCCAGATCTCATAGATAATACCTCAGCCTTCTGTGTCTCTGCTCTGCTAATTGCATCGCCCACATCCCTGATCAGAAGTTAGCCAGACTGGCCGAGTAGACAGAGGATAGATTATTTACTTGACCGAGCTACTAATCACGTAGTTCCCTTCCTCGAGCTCATCAGCCAGTTCTTGCTGGTGATTATCGGCAAGGTCTGGATTGGGAACCACAATCAAGGGCACACCCAAGCGAAGTCCTGCAAGAACAGTCCCACTTCCTGTGAGATAGTAAGTGGATCAGGCCTCATTAGTTGATATGCGAAACAGTGATGTATCATACCGGCGTGACAGATTATCAATCCGCGCTCTTGACCAAGAGCCTCTCTTTCCACGGTCATCATCATTTGGGCATCGATGCTCGGTTGGAAGTCGAATCCCCCAAGGGTGATACCGTGGTGGGGCTGGTCACTGTCGACGAAGTTTTGGAAAACTTCCTGGCCATCTTTACCGTACTGGACAAGAAGATGGGTGTAGTGACGTTTGGCTAAAGTCTCGAGGAATTGTGAACTAAGTACTTGTTCAAGTAGTTTCTGAAAGGAAGCTGTGGCCCCGACAGTCACAAAGCATAGCTTCATTGTGGCGGTGTTGCTGAGGTGAAGTGGGCAAGTAAATCAACCTTGCAAGTTTCTCTCGTAATCAGTTATCATCCTCACATAAAGGAATTATAAAAAGATGCATTATCGAGATGAAGGAATAGTCCAAAGATCGAGAAGCCATCATATACCATGGTGTCACGTGTGGATGAGCCAGACTAGTCTGAATTTGGAATAGCGCACGGCGGTGAACCTCGCAAAAGTGGAAGCGGAAAACATCGTGGTCGAGATCCTGTTCCTACCCACGCTATACCCTCAACAATGGCTTCAGCAGCTCGGTTATTGACTCGCCCAGCTGGGCATATGGTCCGGAGGGGCCTCATCGCCCCCTCTGCTCGGTACTTCTCCGCCTCGCCGCTCAATCGCGTCCAGGATGACCCCGTGATTCCTCCTCCGCCGAAGGAACTCAGAGCGGAAGACTTCCCCCCAATGCCCGAGTACTCCGTTGATCTCCTGACCACGGAGCAGCGATCAATGTACGATCTGATGTCTCCCGAGGAGCGCGCGGCATTCGACGAAGAGAACACCCGCATGGTTGCCGAATTCAACGACCCCCAGAGCGCGCCGCGGCCTTCGAAGAACTTGAGCGGAGCATTATGCAGATTGACAAGGAGGAGGATCTCCGATTCGAAGAAATCCGCCCCCGTCGCGCTGGTTTCTGGGCTGAGGACGAGCCTGATGAGTTGGTCAACATACTCGAGGACGGAGATGAGGAAATCAATGATGACGAAATCACGTCTCTGGCACACGCAGAGATGGAATTGCACCGTGAAATGAGAGAATATGCCCGTCTTACAGCATGGGACATGCCAATGCTGAGCAGTAAGATCAATTGCTCGGGACTACATTTCCCATCCACTAACGTTGACCTGTAGAGCTCGCTAAACCATTCACCCTGCCTCCCCCTACCCACATCCTCCGCTTCCGCTACACTACTTACATGGGCGAACAGCACCCGGCCGAGCCCAAGGTCGTTATGGAGCTTGCATCCCAAGATCTGACCCCCAAGTACCTCACCGAAGCCCAGCGCCAAACATTCCTCAAGCTGGCTGGTGTGCGATACAACCCGCAGACCGATATCATCCGCATGTCGAGCGAGAAATTCGGCTCGCGTGCCCAGAACAAGCGCTACCTGACAGATGTCGTTAACTCGATGATCAAGGAGGCCAAGGAAGGTGACTCCTTCGCCGATATTCCCCTCGACCTCCGCCACCACAAGTACAAGACCAGACTTCAATTCCCCGAACACTGGAACATGACCGAGGCCCGTCGGAATCAGCTGGAGGCGCGGCGCAAGGAGCGTCTATCTGCCGAGGAGACGCGAGCTGCCCTTGTGGACGGTAATACGGTTGTCTCGGATGCTATCAAGGCTCTGCCCTCACTCAACCCTGCTCTCCAGGCCAAGGCTGCCGAAGAGCGGGAACGCGTTGCTGTCAAGGTTGGCGCGCGGAAAAAGGTGGCTCGCCGGTAATTGATGTTCGTCAACTGTATATTGGGTGTGTTTGAGAAGCTGTTGTCAGACATTTGCGAGGCGCGGGCGCATATTTCAGGATTTTTGGCATCTTTTCTTTCGAATGTACTATAGTCATTTTATTCCATGCATTGGCGGCTCGCTGTTACTCCATTCCATCTTGTAGTGTGCCTATGACTTGCCACTGTACGTATACTATCTTCTATGGAGCTTTATTTAAATACTCACAAGTACGTGGATACTGAAGAATCGAAACGGCAATAGGAAATAAACAACGCATTTAATTGTGATATCTGCCAAGCAAATGATGTAGTACGCAGATCCAACCTATGGACTGCAACCCCGGAGTCATCAGCTGACTTCGTCTGATCTGTACTCGAACCAGCAACGACATCCTATCCATGACAGATGGGACAATCCCTGCTGCAGTTCCAGAAACGAAAAATCACAAATGAAAATCACAAATGAAAATAACAACTCCATATGGGCACATATTGTTTAATATCGTCAACGCATATCAACGATATCAACAATTGTAACATCCCAATCCCGAGCAAAAAACCGAAAAAGCACAAAAAGAGCAAAAAACAAAGCATCTTGAAATGAAAAAAACGATTCCGTCAATAACTGCCTCCTATCTCTCACTCATGTATTGTCGTCTTGCATGTCTGGACTATCGTTCGTGCTTGGAGTATAGTCTGTGATATCATAAGGCATATTTATCTGGTAGGATGACATCGAAAGGGAGCCACATCGATGCGCCAGATCTCATAAATGCACGAGAAAAAGATAGGGATGATCAGCGAGTGGTATCATGCAGGGAATCATGAATACCAGACCAGGCCAGACACGCCTGAGTGAAAGGTTTCGAAACGACCCAACTAGTTGCTGTGGGGAGTGTTGGAGTAAGGTCCAAACAACTGCGCAATGTTCCCAGTGGGTGGCGAAGTACGCTTGAGAATGGGACCTCCAATGGGACCCCAAGTGACGCGGGTGTCAGCTGAGTTGAGAGGCAGATTGTCTGTGATATGAAGATCTCCAAGCTGAGGAGTCGAAGGTCCATAGCTGATCTGGACGGTGCTCTGGGAGCTGTTCGAAACCGACTGCTTTCGAGCAGGGAGCTCAGCCTGAGTGAATGTGCCGAAGGACGGATCGTAGCTCACGGCGGGGAGCATGACACCGCCATCGGAAGAAGTGGTAGAACCGTGCTGGTAAAGGTGAAAGGGCTGATGGTGACGGTGTTCAACCGGCTTGTTTGAAGCATCCTCGAAGATATCTTCATTACATTCAGTCAGCTCATTGAGTGGCCAGTAGACATTCCGGTTGCGGGATTTACCGTCATCCAACAGAGATTGATGGGCAGCCATGGAAGCGCCAACATGGCCGGTAGTCGAGACAGTCATTGGAACGGTAGCCGGAACGACAACCGGGGTAGTCGGGGTGCAAACTTGCTTACCGCCAAATCCATGAGCTCCATAATCGAATGCGGGTTGGGGAGATCCCATGCCAGGGGAACACTCGCCGCTGCGCTCACCATCACGCTCACCGGCAATGCTTGGACGAACATAGCCCATGTTGCGGTTGCGGCCACCGCGGTAGGTGCCTTTCCAGTTGCTGCCATGATGTCCATTCGAGGCTCCATTGCGGCCGCCACGCTGCTGGTGGTGATTGCCAAAACCGTTGGGAGCTCCACGGTTAGCTGGTCCACGGGGAGGAGACTTGTTGAACTGAGTTGGAGACTTGTTAACCTTTGGGTTTGCATTGATGGTAGAGACCTTGCTAGCGTAGCTCTCGTCAGTGGTAGAGGCAGGCGATGGCAGGGCGCGCATAGGTGGCTGATCAGCAATGGTGAGCTGAGAGCGAGCCTGGCTTGGATGCAAAAGACTCGCAACGTTGTACTTCTCGCGGTACCAGCGGGGAATGTCACGCAGGCCAAGTTTTTCAATCATGGCCAAGTCGACGGGCATCTCATGTTTGTAAAGGCATCCTATGCGACACAGCGTCAGTCAAGACCTCATAGGGTCTCGGGCATTCAGTTGGCTTACCTTGCTGCAAGTAATCGCATTCGCCGTGGCGGATCCAGTAGGAACAATACTCCTTCTTAGAGCTTGGGGCCTGTGTGGAAAGAGTCAGAGACATGAGCCATAATACGCCAGGAACACAGCCATACATGCTTATTGCCCATCTGGGGGTTCTTGGCATGGAACGTTGGCGCAACTGGGGACAGTCCACCGGCAGGAGTGCCACCGCCGGTAAGGCCGTGGTGGTCAATTCCCTGAAACAGGATAGCCTGAGCAGAAACCCGCATGGGCTCAGGAACGTGGTTATTGGTGATGATCTGCAGCAAAAGGCTGTGCATATCATGATGAGGTCCCTTCCCAGCCTCACTTTCAGAGGACTGGGTAACCCCGTCAACAGACCAAGGCTCAGAACGTTGGGTAGCCAGGCCGCAGCTGGTCATACCCTGAGTCTCTCCAGCATTGAGGGTGCGAGAGACACCACGGATGGTGAGGTTTGTGGGCAGCTCATCGACGGCTACCAGTGGAGTGAGAGTCCCATCAGGGCGGGTACAAAAGAATCGAGGGCGATCATTAGACGCCATCTTGACAAAAGGCAGATCTTAGTCAAGGTAAAAATGAAATACTGAAGATAGGATTGTGCAATAATAATGCTCTGTGTGATACAGAAAGATGAGAGATGGGGAAGAAAAGAAAGGATGGGGAAGAAAACGCTTGTAGGAGAAGAGGGTTAATGGGATAGTTGACAAGCAACAGAAGAGGCAGGTGACAGGTGACAGCCCTGGAGACAAACAAATTGAGAAGAGAAAATGTGACCATAAACTGAAGTCTTGGGAAACACAGTCTCATATATTAGGAAGGATCAACTGGGTAGCTTGACTATGTTAATTAATCTACATTTCAAAGAGATACAGGAAATTAATACAATAAATTAGACTATCTTAGGTACACTGGGATACACAATGGGGATATATCTATCTTGAATCTCACAATAACTTCCCCATGGGGACAAAGACAACATAGTTTATCAGATCGGGAAATGAAGGTACAGAGTTGCACGAAGGTGATATGGACACATTGTTTCTCTGCATATCAAAGAGCAGAAAACTCTTAAATGGTGTAGGAATAAACTACTGAAAGACACGAATAAACTGTGTATCATTCGGAGTCCCATGTAGCTTGCAAAAACATCGTGAACATGTGCCTTGGCAGGGTTGAGCGGGTGACTGCAGAACATACCTAGCCCAATTCTAAACTTGACCTTCCATGTTGCTTCTCTATCTTCCATGTCTCCAAATACACTTATATCAAATACCAATGCTATGCACGTTGTTTGAGGCTCCCAGATAGTCATTGTCCTCTGTATTGTGTCCGATAGAGACTAGGACAAGGTGAAAATACTGATACACACATACTAAAGTCTTGCATACTCTGAGAGAATGAAACAATAATATTGTTTCATTCTCTCCCAGGGATACCTCTTCCGACATTCGACCCCGTGCGACTCATTCCAACATCAATATCTTTGACTACTTATTCAACTATATCATCTCTAGGACCACCCTTTTGAAATATATGGGAGACCAAGCATGTAGTCATTGCTCTCTTACATCGAGGAAAACTTGGATTACTTGCTTGAAAATAGGACAAAGTGCTTTCAAGCGGCTGCCACCCCAATCCACTCAGTTTGCAAATAGCCCAAAGAGGTAAAGATATTTAGAGCCATAAAATACAAACCGACCAAAGAAACGAATAAAAAGCAAAACAACATAACAACATAACAAATATCCTTCGGTGCTCTTCTCCTTTCCTGTCGTGTCGGATGTCGTTGACAATTGCGGCTTAGGTCAAAATCCCGTGACTTGGCTTGACCTAACTCGACCGTCCAAGCCAACAGCCATTGCCTGTAGCATACAGCCTCGCCTTCCAAAGTTGGAACACCTTTTCATCTAGTAAATCCACCAAATACAGCATAAATTTGAAGTCAGATAAATCTTCCATAGAAGCAAAAAAACAAATGACAATTTTTATCAGCGGCAATTCTGCTAAGGCTATTCTAGCGACCTTGGCCCATGGTATGCTCCACTGCTGCTCATCTCAGGAGGAATTTGAGAGCTAACCCTCTTGCTTGACTCGGCCCTCTTGCTTGACCCGGCCCTCTTGCTTGACCCGGCCCTCTTGCTTGACCCGACCCTCTTGCTTGACCCGGCCTTCTTGCTTGGACTCGCCCTCTAATTTTTGTACTGACCGACTGTCTTTCATTTCACCCCTCCGTTCTCGTTTTCTCAACTTGATCTTCTCTGCGTTCTTCCTCCGGTGTTCTCGTTGGTATGACTTGAGCTTCTCTGCGTTCTTCAGATAGTATTCTCGGTTTCTCGACCTGATCCTATCTGCGTTCTTCTGTTGGTATTCTCGATAGTATTCTCGTCGGTATGACTTGATCTTCTCTGCGTTCTTCCTCCGGTATTCTCGTCGGTGTGACTTGATCTTCTCTGCGTTCTTCCTCTGGTATTCTCGTCGGTATGACTTGTAATTCTCTGCGTTCTTCATATAGTATTCTCGGTTTCTCGACCTGATTCTATCTGCATTCTTCCTCCGGTATTCTCGATCGTGTACCTTGATGTTCTCTGCGTTCTTCCTCTTGTATTCTCGTTTTCTCGACCTGGTTCTATCTGCCTTCTCCCGGTCCAATTGTGAAACTTCCACGGAAACATTCTGGTACGCATCGTAGAATCGTTTCTTTTCTTCGGTAGCATCCCCCAAATCCAAAGCATTGTTCATCTCATGCTTCAGTTGTAGCAGGTCTCTTGTCAGATTAGATGGGAGCTAGCACTGAGTTAGCTGGGTCTTCTATGTAGTGAAATGTATTCTTACTAGTACGCATGTTCCATGTTGCCGGACACACTGGCCACAACGAGTTGCATTTCCACGGGTAATTTGACAGTCCAGTAGCCTTTCACCGGGCTTCAGTGGCATTCCCCATTTCTTGAAACACACGACGCAGAGCTGATCTTGTGGCGTTGTATCTGAAAACTTAACGGAGCTCGGAGTACGTGTCTCTTCTAAAAGATCTTTGGAATCGAAGGGGGTGAAACTGCGCTTAGAGTCAGTGTGGTTAGAATTGGCCATCGACTTATTTGCGTCGATTTTGGGAGCCTCCAATGGCTTCTCAACATCTTCGCAAGATGGATTTCGTTTGCCACCAGTAGCGGCATTCTGTTCCCTAATGCTAGCTGCCAAATCACGATCAGCCTTTTCAACCTTGGTCGATGGCTCAACTAGGTCAATATCAGGGGCCCAGGGCATCTCAATATCTTCGAGGGATTGTTTCTGATTGGGTTCAGTAGCCGCCTTCTGATCTTCAAGACCAGCTGCCAGATCAGGATCGGGCTTCTTAACCATAATTGATGGCTCAGTTGGGTCGATCTTGGGTGCCAAGGGCATATCAATATCCTTGGAGGATGGTTTCTGATTGTCACCAATAGCTGCCTTCTGGTCTTCAAGACCAGGTATCAAATCAGGGTCATGCTTCTCGACCTTGATCAACGACTCGTTCGCTACATTATGATATAGCTGTTAATCTGTTCACCTTTCATAGGGGCAATAGCTCTTGCGCAGTTTCGCAGACTAACCTTGTTTGCGATCATCATCTGGCGTTTTGACTGGAGCATCTCCAACTTGATGAAGGATGCTTCCTGAGATGCCAGGCTGCTCAAACTTCTGTGTGGCTTTGGGCATCACATGCGGAGTAGTAGTGTGGTGTTGCTTCATCTCTGCGAGCTCCTGCTTAAGGTGGCGCCTTCGCCGATGATGTTCTTTGGGAGGATCCATGTTGTGAACCCGGTTTGATGAAGTTACTTGAATGATAAAGGAAGGTGTGGAGTGATGGAAAAGAAAGATTTCCGTATGTCCGTCTTTGTTTCTTTAAATACTGGTTTGTTACTAGTCATGTCACTATGCAATCCACGAGGATTGCATAGTAAGGTTCTTAGAGGATTTTGTAGCTTCAAAGATGTTTTGCCTTTGGATTGCTTTCTGGTCACGTAGTACATGAATACTGTATACTAAACTTTTTGCTAGATAGTCCATAGAAACAAAGGGAAATGGATATAAAGGTTTAATATCTACACTGGTGCAATACCGTCAAGATGAACCTACTTCAACACACAGTGTAATCATACTGATTGATTGAATCTAACAAAACAAAGCTGGGTATCTTTCGCTCCCAATGCCCAGAACGCCCCCTTTTTTTGTTTTTTTGTTTTTTTTTTTTTCAAAAAAGAAACTGAACTCCTCCCAATGGACCTTTGTACACCGACAATGTACACAAACAAAAAACAAACAAACTGTAAGAAGCATAAAGAGAGGAGCCGAAGCTCCTCTCAAACCGTGATCACATAGTGATCAGATGCCACCCCAGCGGGCGGGTGCCTCCGCTGGGGTGGCGGGAAGAAAGACTGAAGTTGAGTCTTACGACTCAGCACCCGCCTCTGTCAAATCAATGACAGAGGCGGTGCTCACCCCGCCCAGTGAGGGCGAGGTGAGGGAAATCTGAGGCTCCACTGGAGCCCCGAGAGAGGCCTTCTTGCGGTCGCGCTCACTGCGCGCGACCGACTTTAAGATACCCTGTAGGTATCTCTTCGCCGCCATGATGAGGGCGGGGGCCTCTCCGCTCTTCTCCAGAGCCTCGAGCATGCGGCGGACCTGCAGCCTGGACTGCAGGTGGGGGCAGGCCCGGCGGCCCCCCCAGTGCGCCAGGCCGCACAGGCCGCAGAACTCGACACCGGCGTGACGGAGCGGGCAACGCCCCGGGATGTGGCGGTGTTGGCACGCCACACAAGATGGGAGATCATCTTGGGCGCCGTCGAAGGTGCCCATTGGTGGTGGGGGCGGCGAATCAACGCGGCGGAATCCGCGTGCGGCTGTGAAATCATGTATGTTAGCAAACTGTGTCTTCATGTCTGTAATAAGGAGGGAGGGGGTGGGAATTGTAATTAAATAGTATAAGTGGTAATTAGAATGTGCATGAAAAATGAAGATGTTCTTACCTCGCTGCTCTGCCTCCGCGATACGTGCAAGAGCGAGAGGATTTGGAACTTCATTTGGATCAACCGTGGGATCGGACAGAGTCGTGTCGCCATCATCTGCAATGTCCATTGGCTCAGCTACGGCGCCGGCGTCGTATTCACTTTCCTCGCCATCGTCCTCTGGCTGTTGGAACTCATAGTCGTTATCGTCGGTACTCTTTCGCATCTTGGTATGCGGCTGTCGAATGGGACTAGGATTCTCATCGTCGTCGACTCCTTCAATATTGGTATTGTAACGGGGTGCACCACGCTTTCTTTTACCGCGACCAAGACCTTCCGCTTGACGGTTGGCCTCCTCTTGTGCTTCACGCTCACGCTCCTGCAGAATCTTCTCCCACGCCGTCAGATCTACAGGTGCGTCTTCAGTCTCGATCACTTCCTCGAGGCTATCGCGATCCTTTTGCCACACCCGGGCGAAATTGAACTGCGGCTCATTCTGGTTGGAAGTTTCCTCGCTGGCCATTTGCTCAGCCTGTTCGGCCTGGCTACGGTCCAACAACTTGTCAATCGACTGGCTGTCATATGTAATGTCCGCCGAGTCATCGTCATTGAACAATGCCTGGGCACCGTGCTTGAGGATTGACTCTAAGTCTTCTTCATCCTGGTCGGCCTCGATGCGATCGATAAGTACATGGTCGAGCGCCATCTTGGTTTTACCCTTTTGCATGATTTTTTCTTCCACTGACGCGCGCACTACCAGGTGAAACACGAGAACTGTATTCTTTTGCCCGATTCGATGGGCACGCGACAGAGCCTGCATATCCTGCTTTGGATTGAAATCCGGATCCATGATGATGACTGTATCGGCAGTGGCAAGATTAATTCCAACACCACCCGACCGCGTCGAAAGCAAGAAGGCAAAAAACGGAGAATCCGGCGCGTTGAACTGATCGATTTGTTGCTGTTTCTCTCTTGAGGACAACTTGCCATCCAGACGACAGTACTGGAGTCCCAGCCCGGTGAGGAAGTCTTCAACAATGGTGAGGTTCTCTAAAAATTGACTAAAGATGAGGACCCGGTGTCCACGCTCCCGAAGTCGCGGTAGCATCAGGTTCAGCAACTGAAGCTTCCCGGATGCTTCGACCAAACGCTGATGAGAAAGTTCGGGGTCGAGAGTTTGCTCTTCAATGTCCCGGTTGTAAATGAACGGGTGACAAAGACACTTCCGCAGTTGCATCAGGATATTGTTTAGGTTATGCCGCTCCGTTTTCTTCAGCGGCCCAGTTTGCTTTTTGCAAATGGCTTTGATAAGCTGCGGGTTCTTTTGAAGAATTGATTTGTATAGCTTCTTCTGCACAACGGACATCGAGATTGGGATGATGATCTGCACCATCGGGGGGAGGAATGGCAGAACCTCTGCCTTCGTTCGACGCAGGAGACATGGCCGAATCATGTCATGGAGCTCGCTAATTTGTTCATTGTCGAGGTATCCTCCGTATTGGGCCTCCAATTTCTCAGCACTGTAAGTTGCGTCGATGAACTGGACCAGGTTGAACAGTTCTCTGATATTGTTTTGAAGCGGCGTGCCAGTGAGCAACAACTTGAAACCGAATTTCATGCGACGAAGACGCTCATAGAGCTGTGTCTTGTCATTCTTGAGGCGCTGACCTTCATCAACCACCAAGCCGGCCCAATTGACACTGGACAAGACGCGCTTGGCCCCATCATCGGCCATGCTTTCGTACGAAGCGATGACTACATGACAACATAGAGTACCGTTCTCGTGGAACATCTCATACTTCCTGGTCATCTCGCGAGCCAAGGCACTGCCATAATACGTGACAACCCGGACGTCCGGCGACCAGCTCTTGATTTCTCGGCGCCAGTTTGGCACAGTCGCATTCGGAACAACAACCAAGAAAGGGAAACAATTCAGCTTTTCGATCAATGCTGAGAACATGGTGATGACCTGGATTGTCTTTCCGAGGCCCATATCGTCAGCAAGAATGGCGTTCTTTTGCTGGAAAAACATGTAAAGCAACCAGTTCACACCATCCATCTGATACTCCATTAGCTCGCCCCCGGTCACCAAAGAAGGCTGAGCGGTCAGCATAAGGCTCTCGTCGAACTCCTCTCTGCGGGCATGGCTGAGACGGGTCTGGAGCTCCTTCGCCCTTGGGGGGTGGATATTCTCCCGGAGCACCCTGTCAATAAGAGCAACCTGGAAATCCTCCCAGCGAGCTGTGTCGATCTGACTTGGGGGATCTTCCCAGACTGAGTCTTCGTAGGGCAAACCTTTGTATTTGACATACGCCCGCTTAACCAGACCGCCGTTTGCTCGATCATCTTGAGATTCGGGCTCGTCGTGATATTCCACATCAAAGATGATGTCCACTCGCAGGTTGTCTTCGGGAACAGCTTCTGCCGTAGTCATGATCGGCTTTGTGGATCTGTCTGACTTGAGGAACGCCTTCATCTGACTGGCGGGAGACTTGGACCAAACCCAATCTCCAGTCACCCAGGTCACACGGAAATAGGACATGTTGTTCCACTTGATAAGGTATTCTTTGTCGATCTCTGGGAGCATTTCGACCAACTGCGGAACGACTTTGACTTCGGAAGTCTTTGGTCTCCAAGCAACGATCACATGGATTGGGTTGGCGCCAGGAGGAGATTCAGAGCACTCGTTGCATTGCCAGGAAACAAGATCGATGTCGACACAATCTTTCTCTGAAAGATGATGAATATGAAAGGCTCGCTTGCAGGCACGACTACCACCAAGACACCGGAGGAGGACATTGTCAATATTGTTGACACGGGACATCTCCACGTGGGTTATCGGATCTATGCCATCATTGGCTTCCCGCAACTGTTGCTCGGTCTGGGAAGAAAGAGTCTCTCGCAAAGGTTGCGACATGGGTCCCGCGTCTCTGCACACAGCACAGTGGCCCAGGTGAGGCTTTACATCGTGCTCTTGATGCTTGATCCCCAAACACCGGCTGCATTGAAGAATGAAATCCCCTTCGGCAACCTTGGTGACCAAATGCTTTCGGGTGCTTCGATCACCAAGACAACCTTGATGGTATGATACTGTACAACCTTGACAGAATACCAAAGATCCTTTTTCGGGGTCATGATCTTCATGGCCGCATTGAGCACATGACTGGGAGTGGAACAGTCTGAAGTCATTGTCATGTGGTAGTTCACGGAACTGTTCCCTCGCACCTGAGAACTTTTGTTGCTTAGGCTGTTCAACTTCACGCTCGGAATATTCGTCATCTTCAAGTTTCTCTTTCATATTGCGTCGACGGGTCTGTCGTAGGCGAGATGATGCTCGTTTTCCTGTGTCGGAGGCAGAAGATTCTTCAGACCATTCGCGAGTACGTTGCTTTCGGCTCTTCTTCTGTACACCTCTCCTCAGGTGGCGGCGTCTGGTTGAAGGATCATTGTCATCTTCATCACTGGACTCCTCTGAGTCTTCAGTGTGCACGCTACTGGTATCATCGCGGCTTTGATCGTCGTCGTTATCGGCTTCATCGCCACTGCGAAAGAAATGATCGTATGAGATTGACGGTCCACGCCGTTGGCGTCGTCGTGCAATTCCCCAATCCATATCTGAGTCGTAATCTGCTGAACCATCTCCACCCGAGTAAATGAGATGTGAAACGGGTTCGTGGCCCATTGCCAGAGGATCGGGGCTCTGTGAGTCACGATTAAATTCACGTAAAGCCTCTGGTCCGTTCTTCAGGCTTTTCAATTTATCAATGGTCACCTAGTGAAAACTATGGTCAGCTGAATGGAGCTTGAGATTGATTGATTGTGTTCACTTACGGTTTGACGTTCACCACTTTTGAGTCTCACAATGAGCTTTGGCTCGTGCATATCGACTGCAAGAATACGGCGAACTTCAAAGTGGCCAGGCAAATACTCATAGTCCTCAGGGTTATTAACCACTGGGACAATGATCTCAAAAGACATTGTGGATGTTTCTGAGTTTCCAGTGATCTGTTGCACTGGTTGAAGGGCATCTTCGGAGCCCTTAGGCTGAATTATGGGAGTCATGTTAGAGGATGATCTCTGGAACTGCGCTAGCAATTGCGCAGCCATCGCATCAGGATCATTGTGCTTTGGAGAATTGTCTCTAGATTGAGACATGATGATTTCCTGATGACATGAAGAATCAGAAAATGAGCATGGAGCCGTAGGAACCGCACATGCGGCTCCTACAAATGATGGTTGGAAAAGTCAACTGAAGTGAACTGAGTTGTGAAATGAATATGGGATCGACGGTATGGTTGAGGATTCCAATGGAAAGCCAAGCAAGGTTTTGACTTGATTGGATGCTCAAAGGAAAGATGAGTTTGAAATGAGGAAGAAAGAAAAGAATGAACGAGGATGAAGATGAAGATTGAGAAGTAGAAGAAAGTCGAAGTCGAGCAAGACTTGAATTGTATACAGAGATCGCGCTACGCGTTTGGATGCGATAACGATAAGTACGGCGACGCATGGAGACTTATCGCGCACTTCGATATCGAAGTTCTCCAGTGCGGAACGGGAAAACTTACGAAGACCGGAACTTCGTCGCGATGCTCAGTACTATCTCAAGAACCCGCTTGAATGGTCTTTCAAGAGTGATCAGTTCCTCGCATTCTACAGTCCTGGCGATTCGACATGTATCATTGAATTCAGCAATTGGGGAGGGAATTCGCAGATCTCAGTCGGTAGATGCGGACAGAGAGGATCGCCGCGGCAACGAGTCTCGGTTTCCTAAACGCGAACGACAATACGAGGGGCAATACGGAGCGCGACAATACGGAAGATCAGGTGAATCCAATTTCAGTGAGCGTCAAACAAATGGAGCGCGACAATACGGACAGCAAAAATACGAAAGATCAGGCCAATCCAACTTCAATGAGCGTCGACCATATGGAGCGCGACAGTATGGAGAACAAAAGCCCGACAAATCAAACACCGGTTCTCATCGCAACTACCGCCAGGGTGATCGAGAATACGGAGCAAAAAAACCTGGACATCAGACGGTTTAGGTCGCAAAGACAATGATCGCCGACAATTGACATGGAACGACAACTCTCAGTCCCCAAGACACAGCCGAAAGGAAGAAAAGTTTGAGTTTGATGAAGATGAGTTCATTCGCTCTGGCGATTTCCGAGGACTCCCTCGTGAACATCAATCACGGTTCCAGTCACGATTCCAATCGCGAACACAAGACAGTTCATTCACACAATCGGGACGGGGAAGACCTTCAATGGATGAACCACGGGAGAAGGAGCCAGCAAGATCTCGAGCTCATCGGGTCACGAACAGCATGCCAGAGCGGGTGAAGGACAATGTGAAAGTGCCCGACACAATTCCCTACACTACACCGGCATCTGAGTTCATTTACGGCACAAGCGCCGTGGAGGCGGCGCTGCGCTGCAGTCGGCGTCAACTATACAAGCTCTATATCTACCAGAGCACAGATGAAGAGCTAAGTGCAGCCAAGATGACAATCCGCAAATTGGCACTGTCAAAGAACATTACAGTAAAAATGGCATTTGCAGGATGGGATCGGCTTATGGACAAGATGAGTGGTGGGCGACCTCACAATGGGTGCATTTTGGAGGCATCTCCTTTACCAAAATTACCTGTGCGTGGCCTGCAGGCTGTTCCATCTATATCCGATGAGTATTTCCGGACGGAGCTTGCGCCACAAACCCGGGAAGAAGCTGCGGTAAATGGCACCGATGATCGTATCCGGATCCATCACCCATCTCCATCCCCGCAAGAAACTGAACAACGCCATCGATACCCAATTGTCTTGCTATTGGATGGAGTGGTCGATACCGGTAATATGGGCGCCATCATCCGTTCATCCTATTTCCTGGGTGTCGATGCAATTGTTCTAGCCGGTCGCAACTCCGCACCATTGTCTCCCATCACCATCAAATGTTCTGCCGGTGCAGCCGAGAATATGCCTATTCTTCATGTGAAGAATGAAGTTGATTTCATTCAGCGATCCCAGCAGAACGGTTGGCGATTCTATGCTGCAGATGCACCACTCCCCGGCTCTGTGCCTTTGGATCACATCTCGGCGGGCAGTGATCAAACCGGGGCCAAATTGCCCATCACGATTGCACCTAGTGTTATCATGATGGGCAGTGAGGCTACTGGATTGAGCTCACATATCAAATCGCATGCAGATGCAATCGTCAGCATTCCCGGTGCCCGGCATAGTTCCATTCTAGGCGTTGAGTCGGATCCTGCCCGCATCGACAGTCTGAATGTGAGTGTCGCCGCCGCGCTACTGATGGAGAAGTTCTTACGTACTCCCATAACTTTGGGTGAGATTGTCAAGAAGGAAAAGAATATGGGAAAGGAGAAAATGTGGTAATTAACTGTAATAACTGTGTATTCTAGTATCTATACTGCATCTTTGTACAATAGCACATATAGGAGTTAATTTGAAGTTCCTCCGAATTAGGGCTAACACACCCGGGAAATCCAAGCAATCCCTAGTAATCTTTCATTTTAAAGAGAATAAATACTGAAATATACCGAAACTCGTCGCCGAAGGTGTGGGGGATCGGATCTGCGGGGGGAAAGACCCGCAATGTTTGGGTTCTTTAAGAAGTCAGTTCCCTAGTGTCTTTGTCTTTTACATTATTATATTTATCTATAAAAAGATCCTTACAGATCCCAACCATGATCCCTGAAAAGCAGATCTCAACCAAGGCATTCGTGGTTGAAAAGCCAGGAGCTCCTTTTATCCTTCAAGATGTTGTTCTTGATGAAGTCCGAGCAAATGAAGTATTGGTTGAAATGAAATATACCGGTCTTTGTCACACAGTATATATTATCCATTCCGCAATGAACTCTACCAAATCTAACATACCCTAGGACATCGTCGTCCAACAAGGCGCAATCCCTGTTGGTGATTATCCCGCCGTACTAGGCCACGAGGGCGCCGGAATAGTCCGCCGTGTCGGTAGTGGTGTTAAAGACAAGTCCCTACAAGAAGGCGACCTTGTATTCCTAAGCTTCAGCTCCTGCCATGAAGAATTATGCAGCCCCTGCAGCAAAGGCCGGAACGGATTCTGCAGTCAAATGACACCTATTAACTTTGCCGGAGCTCGAGGTCTCAGCGCTGCCGACTCACCCATATCTTTTCCCGATGGAAAGGGCCCAATCCGCGGCCAATTCTTCGGTCAGTCCTCCATGAGCAAGCTGGCTGTGATTGACGAGCGGTCGGTCGTGAAGGCCCCTCCAGGGTCTGGAATCACAGTTGAAGACATGGCAGTACTTGCTCCTCTTGGCTGTGGATATCTCACTGGTGCTGGCACCGTCTTCAATGTTCTCAAGCCTCAGCCGACAAGTCGCTTTGCTGTCCTTGGTATGGGCGCTGTTGGGTTGGCGGCCATGATGGCCGCGCGATCTCAGGGAGTGGAAACAGTTATTGCAGTTGATATTGTTGATGCCAAGCTTGAGTTGGCAAAGTCGCTTGGTGCATCCCATACATTGAACACGAAGAGTGTATCGGACCTTGCACAGGGATTGTTGGATATCTTCCCGGATGGCGTGGATTGTATTCTCGATACGACGGGTGTAGTTCCTCTCCTTGAGGCTGCGGTCAAAGCTTTGGGCCATGAAGGTACCTTGGCTATTGTGGGTGTGGCTCGTGCTGGTTCATCCCTCAATATCGATCCTTTGGTACTCATGATGGCTTGCAAGCGTGTTGTTGGTGTGATTGAGGGCTGTGCAAACCCCGCTGTGGTGAGTCTTTTTTTTTTTTTGACAACTGCTTGAGTCGCGACTAACTTTTTGTCGTTGTCCAGATTGTTCCACAGCTGATTGATCTTTACAAGCAAGGGAAATTCCCGGTTGATAAGCTTGCTAGGATCTATGCACCAGGTGCCCTTGAGCAAGCCCTGGCAGACTTGCACTCTGGAAGTGTAAGCATTCCGAAATCAATATTTCAATCAGACAGGCTAACAGATATACTTCCCACAGGTTATCAAACCCATTATCAAATGGGCAGATCTGTGATAATATGATTCGATTATGCATATGAAGGCGCTTTACACTCAGTGGTGGTTGGAATTGTTTTCTATTAGTGGATTGTAGCATATTTCTCTTCCTGTTCATATTGTGACGTGTTTCTTATGTATATCACAAGCGAGTCCTACGCCATATATCACATCATGCATAAGTTCAGCTGGACTCGGAAGGCACAGAGAGGTTCTGGTGTAGCTCCTTTCGCTGCACAGCACCAAAGCGAAGATTGCCGACATCGAAGACCTAAATATTGGATTAGCGCGTGTGGCTGTGAACACACAAAAAAGGGTATCACTCACTGCATAGATAGCCTTCAGGAAGGTATCACCTAGAATATCCATGGTCATAGTACCACGACTTTGGATGCCTCCATAGACATAACCAGACTTAGCCTCAGCAAATCCTAGATCTTCCTTCTGCACAACAAACTGCTTATCACCAACAGCAAAAGATATGACAGGCAACTTATCAGCCGGTGTGTTGGATGGATAGATCCATCCCTGGCTGCTATCATCATACTTTGCCCCAGGAATAGCATCATAAATGGCCTGACAAGTTTCATCATCCACCAGCGCCAAAGTAGTCCCCGTATCAGCAATAGCTTTATTTCCAGCCCGAGCAACCGACTTCCCATTCACCGTCGCCGAGGCAGAATCGAACATCCAAAATCCCTGACTGTTATCGACAGTCGTGTAGTAGATCTCTGCCTCAGCAGCCTTCACCGTGTCCTGATCAATATAACCGAAAGTATAGAACGACTCGCCCTTATCCGGCTCATCGGAATCTCGCCATGACCCCAACTTCGCGGTGAAGAGCTCAGCTGATTTCGGGATATCGTCCTGCGAAATCATATTCTCCACAGGCGTGCTCACAGCCTCAGGCTTGACAGTATTGATATTACCGAACGCAAGCCCCAGCAGCCCATCTCCAGTACCTTGCGCGAATTGTGCGGACAATATTTCAGCGACCTCAACAGCCTGGCCTTTGACCACCAGCCCGCCGATGTTGACATTATCGTTGCCGACCGTGCCAGAGGCAGAAGAGCCATCGCCGTACTTGATCTGCCACGTCGAGCCTTCTTTCTCTTTGAATGTGCTCGATTTGGTTGGATCGAAGATTGTATGGTTCTTATTCTCGGACAAAGTCTTAGATGATAACTCCGTGGACCAGACCTAGACAATCTTAGCAACATTCACATCACACGCAGAAAAGCGACCTCGGGAAAGGGATATGCTTACCCACAGATCCGCAGACCCAGTATCAAAGTCCAAACTGAGCTTCTGCTCAGGCGTGCCAATACCGACTTCTGCAAGATACATTGAGTCATTCTGCACATCTTGGGCATCCACTTGCCCAACCTCGTCGCTAACGGGGCTCTTCTTCTGCAGCACCTGCTGCAACCGAGCACGACCTCCCACGGGCTTATTAGTGAATTGTCGGCCTGTTTGTACCATTGTGGTCCCGAGGAAATATGGGCCAGCCTTAGTTGGGCTGAAGCGATACTTGCGCATGGCGTACAAGTACGACTTCGTGCCGGACTTCTGGTAGTGCGGGTTCGCGACGAGTTTGATTTTAGTCGTCATGGTGGGGGTTGGATAGTTTTGATTTGAGATGTTTGAGGATAGATGGCTTGGGGGCTTGGGATCTCCCTAGGTATTTATGCTAGAATATGATCATTCAACTGGGTATTTGAAATAAGGTCGTCACGGCTTTTAAGTACATATCATATGTATTGCACTGCGAGGCTGGTCATTTGTCAGTTGGATAAATCTAGGTAGAAACCTGTATTTCGTCATTGCGGATGACTTAGGGTTAGTGTTGTTTCAGCGTGATGGCAGGTGGTATCCGATATGCACGGTGATACGGAGTCCGGTGGGGGTTTCTACACATGTACGGAGTACTCCGTAAGGGATTATACAAGGATTATGCAGGGATTATACGATAAGCCTTTGGTAGTAAAACAAGTAACTCTATTCCAATTACAAAAATACATTAAATCATCTGCGCCGATCACAAAACCGCCCCAATACCCAAATCACCAATAACCATAGCAAACTGGGAACGTACACACTCGTGGATCAATCCACATGATTACCTCTTGCGAGTCTTAGACTTGGTTGCAGCCGCACTGGGAGCTCGGGAACTGGCCGCAGACGCCGTCTTGCTACCACCCTTGGTGGCCTTGGCCTGTTTAGTCGGCTGGGAAAAAAAAGTTAGCACGAAAATCATAAATAATCGATGGAACGATACTTACAGCAGCTCCATTCTTAGCCTTCTTCTTGGCAGGGGGCGCTTCTTCCAACTCTTCCTCCTCATCACGATCGCGACCGCGGCCTTTGCCCTCACTGGGCTCGAATTCCTTCGCCACAGTGTTCAGCAGAGTAGTGCAGCGACGACCGATTTCCACGGGCGTACGACTGAGCATGAAGAAATCGAATCGGAATAGAGGTGATTCACGAATCTCGTCACGGATGAGTTCATACAAATTCTCGCCCTCGACTCCATACTTGTCCAGCATGATTAACAAGAATCGGTCCTCATCCTCTGTGTAGACCTTTTTGTTGGTGGTGGACACAGTGTAGTTGATCTTGAGTTGCTGAAGCGGCACGCGGTACATTTCCAACTTCTTGCGGAGCATCTTCCGCTGGTGATCCATCTTCCGCACTTTCTCCTCACCCTGATCGATGACTCGGAGGTACTTAGGATAGTCCTGGATCTCGGTGTATCGGCGCCAGAAGACTTCGGCATATTCCTTAATCTCGTTCGGCTCCTTGCTGTCCACTTCGGTAGCAATACCCTTGTAGTCGGTGCGACCAAATTTGGCAGATCCATTGATAAATTGCTGGAAATCACGTCGGTTCCAGGTTGCAAAGCCTTCTTCTGACATACGAGCTTTCTCGGCTTGCTCCTCTTCGGTAAGCGGGACAGAGTTATCAATCTCCTGTTGCTCAAGGTCTCGCTCAGCCTCTCGCTCACTGAGCTCCTCTTCGGGACCTTCGGGCAATTGAGCCTTGTAACCAATTTCCTTGTGGAAATAGGCCGTCTCCTTCTCTTGAAGCTCGTGGAGACCAGGAGGGAAGAATTGCCAGTCGTGGACAGTGATTTGTTTAGGAGCACGTGGGACCTTGGGCTTTGTATCGGCGGTTCGGCCTCCAGTGGCCAAGGCTTGGCGGTAGTATTTATCGATGGAATAGAATTGCTCTTTACGCTCACGCTTAGCTGGGTTGATCCAACTGATGCCAATATCCTTCTTCCGCTCGGTGAAATCTTTGCCGTTCCATTCATATGCACTCTCAGAGGAAAATTTCTGCAAGTCATCAATGCCGAGGGTCTCGTACT